ACATATGCATCTCTTTTATTATTATGTGTATATAAATTTTTTTTTGTTTAAGAATAATGTTACATCGAACAGCCTCCAGCCTCCAGCCTCCAACCTCCCATCTCAAATCTCTAAAAAAAAAAAAAAAAAACCCCCCAACCCCTTAGCCCACATCCAGTCCATCCACCAAACCCTTTCGTGATGTCTTCTTTATGCTGACAAATGCCTGACAGGAGGCGGGGGCGAAGGCCTGGAGTGGGAACATTGCGGAAATTTGCATAAAAATGAAAAATAAAGAGCTCCACTCCCCCAGACACCCCAACCCAACCCAACCCAGCTTTGTGTCGCATGTGTGTCAAAGTGTTGGGCTTTAAGTCGCTGAATGGGAATCACAAATGACAACTGTGATCGCAGCTGAAGTTTAAATCTCTTTCGACGAATCATTCACTGAAAAAAATGGGGAAAATCTAGGAAATCAAATTTGTTAGGGAAATGTTTAAAATGAAAAACATTAAAGTAGAAAATTAAAAGAAATCAACCAAAAAATTTGGGATAAAAATCTAGGTAATACAAATTTCGAAGGGAAAATGTCTTAATTATATTATATAATTATATATAAAAAATTATTTTTAATATGAAAAACATACAAGTAGAAAATGATTTGAAATCTTTAAAAAATGCCTTAATTCCGTAATTTTAAATTTAATTTTATAAAATTGTAATATATTATTATCTTAATCCATCATAACTAAGCCAAAAATTCATTAATTTCGATTCGGAAAGCGGTTTTGTGTTAATTTTTATGAACTTAAAAAAGCTGCATAGCAAATTTAAAGTTTTAAGTAATCAACATTTTTGGCTATTGTTGAGAATTTTAATGATGTAACCCCTTATAAAATTTCAAAAAAATAGCTAAAAATTTGTTTTCCTCCTAACATGGCTTAAACGATTCGCCAGTTGATGCTGATCAAGAATATATATGGTTTATGGGGTCGGAAATGACTCCTTGACTTAGAAAAATATAATTTTGTATTATAAAATCGGATTTTTTATATTAAAAAACTTATTGATATTTTATTATAAATTTTCAAATTTAATAATATCATAACTCGGCCAAAAGAGCATTATTTTTAAATTGGAAAACTCTTCTGCGCAAGATTTTTTTCATTTAATAAATCTGCACACTTCATTTAAAAATTTTGAAAATTAATTTTTTTTATCAAAATTTAAAAATTTTAATGATGTAACCCCTTATAAAATTTCGAAAAAATAGCTAAAAATTTGTTTTCCTCCTAACATGGCTTAAACGATTAGCCTGTTGATGCTGATCAAGAATATATATGCTTTATGGGGTCTGAAATGATTTCTTCACTGCGTTTCAAGCTTTTGACTAAAATTCTAATACAAAAAGTTAAAGATGATTTAAGATCTACTAAAAATTCCTAAATTATATTAAGTACAATTCTGTAAAATACTATTTTTTTGATTTTAATATTTAACTGTTTAACAGTAATGATTTTAATATTTCACAAAATTGTCCAAAGTATTTTTCTAGAATTTTAAATTCATAGAAAATATTTAAGCAAACGGAATTTAAGTTGTTATTGTTTTTTTGAACAGTGATCTATTGCCTTGCCTTGTCTTGATTTCCGGGAAATCTCTGGCTAAAGACGACCAGATGTTTGCCGCAATTTATGCGCAGGCGGAGGATGTATGTAATTTCTTGATGGGCTTTGGGTCACCCAATGTGGGGGCTGTGGGGCTGCCTCCCCCCGGGCAGCTATTAAGTTATGCAGCGGCCGAAAGTATGCAACAGATCTGAAGGCAGAAGGATCCCGGGTGGGAAAAAAGGAGACTCGCGCATAACTTAAACGGATTCCACTTGCCGGAGTGCATGAACCCGGGGCCTGCATAATTTAGTGATTGTAACTCCCTCTCTGTTTTCCTTTGGCTCCTCCAAAACCTCTTGTTTTTCTCTACACCATCCCGGTATCCTGGGCAGGACTATGCTAATGCTAATGCCAACGCTAAGCACATGCTGCCTGGAGAGTGCAAAAAGTTTGCCCAAGAACTTTGCTTCCGTTTTGCATTTGATTAACTGCCGTCGGAAAAGAGAAAAAGAGAACTGCACGAAAAGTTAATTTTACTGTGATTTCTTTTGAGAAATATATATGTATATATCTGTAGATAAAATGGGAGCTCTAGGATAATCAAATATTAGGATGGTAAACGATTTTCAATCAGGGTAGACTTGATTATTATTATAAAAGAGATAAGCCGAGAATACTTTTCATCTCTTATTTCCTGGTTTAATTTAAACATATTTTAACGCTCTTTCTCATTTTTTTTATATATATATTTAATTGTTATTCCCCTTTAATTTGTAGTTAATGCCACCATTGCATAACTTTTTATTAATTTATAATCTAAAGCACAGATACTTGTGGCTATCAGTAAGCATGTAATCGGCCAGTAAAGCCTATTATCGCAGCTATCAGCGATGACATTACCTGCCTTAAGCCATCATCATGATCATCATCATCATCATCATTATTATTATTATCATGAAAGCAGACCCTTAATGAATGCCACGCAAAAACACTTTAAACTAAATGGATTTTATAGTGCCTTATGGGTTGCTTAATTTATGATTGCAACCTTAATAAAAAACCCTTAAAAGGTTCATGTAAACATTTTCCAAGACAAGTTGAACTATATAACTCATACGCAGTGTTGCCTTGACAGATTATCAAATGTTAACTGAATTTAAATGTGAATTATAAGGGTTATTATTATTATTTATTATGTAAAATATTAATCTCAATCAGTTTAAGTAAACATTTCTCAAAACAAGTCCAAGTACATCACTCATACGCCATGTTGCCTTGACAGATTATAATATTCTGTATAAATTTACCAATGAATTACAAGTTCATTACTTGGTTACTGTGAATATTAAATATCTCCCTGCTAATGGATGCCCTTTGCAATTAGCAAAATTGAATTAGATCCTGGCCAGCAGCAGGCTCTCCCGGTTGGCATCGATAACTTCAATTAACCATTTACTGAAATCACAGCTGCTGCTGCTGCTGCTGCTGGAGAGTGCAGTGCTGACGCTCTGGGAATTGGCTTTATGTTTGTTTACCCGCTCCCACACATCCAATCCAATCCACACCAAGCTGCACCCTCTTCGGCTCTTCTCCCCCTTGGGGGCCACTTGGTGCTCTCGACCCAAATCCAGAGTTGGCACACACAACAACTTTCGGGGCAAGGACGAAGTAGAGGAGCCAGAGAGTGGGCTTGTCTGTTTTTCTCTGGCCAAACGCTGGCCCAGCATTTTGGTGTATGCAAATTTAATTAAATTTTTTGTGCACACACACACACACACACACACACAGACACACTGATGCAGGGAATAGTGCGCCAATGGGCTGGCATGGAAGTACTAAAGGCGCCGACCTACTTGTATTCCCTGGATAAGGGATAGCACTGTCATCCTAGCCGGGTTTCAGCGTTATTCGCACAAAATTAATTGCAGGAAAGTGTGGGATGTGGGTGTGAGATGTGGGGTGTGGGGTGTGGGGTGTGGTATGTGGGCGTGGCTGAGAGGGTCACGTTACGCCCACTTGTTGGCCAAGGCCTTGGCATATCGTCTTGAAGCAGCCACAACCTGTAATTATCCAGGAGAACAGGAAGCAAGGCAACACACTTGCACCTTGGCACACCATTTGTATTGCTAAAAACAGTCAAAACCAACACAGTTGTGGTTGTATTTCTAGGTCTTTAGGATGGCTAATATAAAATTATGTTTATTGAAATCAGCACTTAATGGCGCTTAGTATTTGGTAAATGATGTCTCGTAATTAGAGCTGAAAATAAAATTGATTTTGTTATTTATTTTGTAAATTATTAATAATAAATGAATAAATAATTAATAATAAATAAATAAATAATTAATAACAAATAAAAAAGTAATAACAAATAAATAAATAAATAATTAATAATAAATAAATAAATAAATAATTAATAATAAATAAATAAAAAATTAATAATAAATAAATAAATAAATAATTAATAATAAATAAATAAATAATTAATAATAAATAAATAAATCATTAATAATAAATAAATAAATAATTAATAATAAATAAATAAATAATTAATAATAAATAAATAAATAATTAATAATAAATAAATAAATAATTAAAAATAAATAAATAAATAATTAATAATAAATAAATAATAATTTGTAGCAAATATGCAATACATTGATTTACATTTTCTAAATCGATTCGCTTTTACGATTTTAATCGATTGTTATCGGTTAAGATGTAGAATTTTTATTATTTTTCTTAGAGAAAAAAAGGAAAATTAAGTTTAAAAAATACAAATATCGATAGGTAAAAATAATAAATTAATAATGGGAATTCATATATAAATTAAATTTTAAAAAATTAATTTAAAATAATTTTAATCGATTATAATCGGTTTAGTTGTAGTTTTTTTTTTTTGGGAGAATACAAATAATGATAGATAAATTGCCAAGAGTCATAAAAATAATAAATTAATAATATAAATACGTATATAACTTGAATTATATATCGATTTTAATCAATTATATTCTATTTAATGGCAAAATTTTGTTTAAAAAGATCGATTTATTTCCAGCTCTACGGGTAGTAGTCTTAAAATCCTATAACCCCATTCCTATACACCCCCATAAACCCTGTCAAACCCCACATATATACCTCACATATACACCCCACTTATACCCTACATCTGTGGCATTGTCTCTCTACTCGATAGCTCGTGCTCGTCTTGTCTCAGGTGCTCCTCCTCCTCCTTGTACTCCTCAGCTAAAAGTCAAAACCTAAGGCTAAGCTCTCGTTTGTAACTGTGTGTGTGTACGCCACAATATCTCTCTCTATATCTGTATATGTATTTGCCCCGCCACCATGTGCATAGTATAAGAATTTTATAATTTAAACCAAGAATATCAACTAACCAATCGATCCTTGCAGTGCGCAGCTGCCGAACGGGCAAACAGGTGCAGATGACCGAGGCGGAGGTGCGCGGTCTGTGCCTCAAGTCGCGTGAGATTTTCTTGCAACAGCCAATCCTGCTGGAGCTGGAGGCACCGCTGATCATCTGCGGCGACATTCACGGCCAGTACACAGACCTGTTGCGGCTGTTCGAATACGGTGGCTTTCCGCCGGCTGCCAACTATTTGTTCCTCGGCGATTATGTTGATCGGGGCAAGCAGTCACTGGAGACCATCTGCCTGCTGCTGGCCTACAAGATCAAGTATCCGGAGAACTTTTTCTTGTTGCGCGGCAACCATGAGTGTGCCAGTATTAATAGGATTTATGGTGAGTGGTAAATTTACCATATTATCTATTTAATTTTAGGCGGGGGAATGAATATTATTATATAAATTTCTTGTTGTGCAGGCTTCTACGACGAATGCAAGCGTCGCTACAATGTAAAGCTGTGGAAGACCTTCACAGATTGCTTCAACTGCCTGCCAGTGGCCGCAATCATTGACGAGAAGATCTTCTGCTGCCACGGCGGCCTCAGTCCCGATCTGCAGGGTATGGAGCAGATACGCCGCCTGATGCGGCCCACAGATGTCCCAGACACTGGCCTGCTGTGCGATCTACTGTGGAGTGACCCGGACAAGGATGTCCAGGGCTGGGGTGAGAATGATCGCGGTGTGAGCTTCACATTTGGTGTGGATGTGGTTTCCAAGTTTTTGAATCGTCACGAGCTGGACTTGATCTGTCGTGCACATCAGGTGAGAGAGAGAGAGAGTCTTTTAGGTTTGTTTTTGGGATTTTAAACTAATGTTTTTATCTTTTCTTAAGGTTGTTGAAGATGGTTATGAGTTCTTTGCCCGCCGCCAGCTGGTAACTTTGTTCTCGGCGCCCAATTATTGCGGGGAGTTTGATAATGCCGGCGGCATGATGACCGTGGACGACACGCTCATGTGCTCATTCCAGGTGGGTTAATAAAGACTTGCCTTTTGCTTTTCTTAAAAGCTAATATCTAAAATGTTTGAAGATCCTGAAACCATCCGAAAAGAAGGCCAAGTATCTGTACAGTGGAATGAACTCTTCGAGACCCACAACTCCGCAGCGAAGCGCCCCAATGTTGGCGACCAACAAGAAGAAATAATATATCCATCCGCTTCCATTTCCTTAAAGGTTCAACAAAACAAAACAAAACAAAACAAAAAGCTAAGAAAACCAACAAAAAAAAGTAAAGAAAAAAAAAGTAAAAACAACAGAAATAAACTTTTATATAGATACACACACATATATATATATAAATATATATATGGAAATATATATATGCATATAGGAGGAGCGAGAGTCAAGGCAAAAATGAACATTTATGTGTATACCCCCCGGACAGGTAGTATCTGTAACTAATTCAATGACCTTGCCTGTATTCACTATCAGCTCTCCCGCATCCCCAAAGTTGCAGATAAATAAAGTAAATCAATTAAAAGTACAGCGATGTTAAGCAATGAATTTATATATATAGGCATTATATGTAAACTATATACGATATACTTATATATATATATATATGAAAAAATAACTACCAGAAAAAGGAAAACAAAAACTAAAAAAGGAAAAGCTGAAGAAAATCTGGACAAGCTTAAAAATTCGCAACAGAGTTTATCGGTTTTTAGGTTTAAGAAATCGATAAACGAAATCGATAAATGAAATCGATAAACGAAATCGATTCAACTCTGTGTCCTGTGTGCGTGTGTATTTTATTTATTATTTATCTTTAAAATCTAAATATATATATATGTTCTTTTTTTGTCAATTGTTTAATTAATTTATTGCCTACCTTAATATTAATATAAAGCATACACCTTAACACCTAACTATATGCATATATATATATATTTACTTTTTTTTTTTGTCGTTGTACTAAGTTTAAGTGGCAAAAAGTGTTAACTGGGTTGAAAGGGCATTTAACAATTGAGGCTTACTTTTAACTATTTACCCTATTGTTAGCCAGGCTGAAAGCTAAAACTTGATTCAACCTAACCAATCTATCTTTAACTTGCCTCACACACAAAACGAAAACGAAAACGAAAAGAAACATGCAAAAAAATCATACAAAAAAATCATACAAAAAGAAAAGAAAAGAAAACTAAATTTGACGAATTTTTGAAAACATTACTTCGAGTACTTGAAACACCAATTTTTGTGCATCTTTAATTTATATAAAAACAAAAAAAAAAACTCAATTCGTTAGAGAAGCGGAGAGGTGAGAACGTATATATTTCAAATATATATAGTTATAAATACGGAAGGATAGAAAGAATAAAACTAATTTTTTCATCGTCGTAACTTATTAGATTGTAGTGCCTTTTTTGCCTCCCAAAAAAAAAAAAAAAAACAAAAACGATAAAGTGTAAACTAACAAAAGGTTTATATATATACAGATCATAAATATATATATAAATATATATATATATACATTACAATATACAGTATACATTTTATATGTGACTAGGCAGAGCGGCGAGTAGCTTGTGGGGCGGCAAACCAGTCAATTAATTGCATTATAAACAAAAAAAAACATGAAACAAAAACCAACAAATAACATTTGCATTTCTCTCTCATTTTGAGCTTGGTTGATTGCTCCCCCCCTCTCCGATTTGTTGTTGTTCCCCCCCTCCCGAAAGGACACTTCCTGCGTGTGCGTGTGTGTGAGCTGCTTCCGCATCCGCAACCCAAGTATACATTACAATTAAACGTAAATAAATAAATATAATTAACAGAAAAATACCAAGTACTAGCAGTTGGCGAAGCAGGCAAAACAAAGAAAAAGAAAAAGATAAAGAGAGAGAGAGAGAGAGAGAGAGAGAGAGAGAGAGATGATAGCAGAAAATGGATAACAAATAAATATATTTATTATTAAAAATCAAATAAAAATTAAATTACAACTTTATGTTAACAAAGTGTTGGGTTTTTCTTATGGAAGAGGGAGGGGAAATTCACAAAATATAATTAAAGAAATTAAAATATTAAAGCTGATCAAATGAACCAAGAAATGAACAGCGGAGCAAAATGAACCACTGAGTTGAATGAATCAAATCTGGAAATATATTTATATAATTAAATTAATTTAATTATATTTATATAACTAAAATATTAAACAAACAAAATAAACAAATAAGCTAAAATGAACTCGGAAATGAACAGCTGAGCAAAATGAACCCCTGGAGAGAGCCAGCGAAAATGCCCATAACAGTGAACTTGACATTGATTACCGCAGTTGTTTTTTTAACGCTTTCGTGGGTGGTGTCGTTCTCCCTGGAGCTCTGTTACTTTGCCCATTCACCTAATTCCCCTATTTTTTTTTTATGGCCGGCAGTTTGTAATCTTATCGGAAATCAAACACCAGCGGCCGATGAGTCGGATCGCAAATTGTAATTGAGTTTTGGCTAATGATTTCCCCATATTATGTGGTTTCAGTGGTCAAAAGGTGGTGCAGTGGAGTGTACTCTTTAAAGAACAATTTTTTTCCAGTGTATTTTGTGTTTAAAAAATATTTAAAATTTTAATTAATACACTAAACTTTCTAAAGTTTAATTTTTAAAATTTAAATAAACCAAAACTCTCACTGAAAGCCTTAACCTAACCCACTAAAGTAATTATAAACTTTATAATCTAATAATTCTTGATATTTTTAGTGATTAATAATTATTTTGATATATTTAAATTTGTAAAACATGTATTTCCAATTGGATATTATGATAAACTGTTGGGTAATCTAAGGAATGTGGCCAGTGGAAGCCATCTGTGACTAATAAATCGTGACTAATTATACCCATACCTCCAAGGTTTCCACTAAAAATAACTCTTTAATCTTCAAGTAAAGTATAAATATTTATTTTTTAAAGAAAAACTTGCATAAATTCTTGGGAAATCTGTAGATTTTATAAACATTATTTTGCTTTGCCTGAAACACTTTCTCCCTTCGATTTAACCAGCTGTTTCCTGCCCAATCCCCGCCAGAATTAAGAGCCAGAAATGTCGCTAAAGCAGCAGCGGCAGCGGGATGTGGAAGGCGATGTCCCACCGGACAGCATATCCCTGGAGGAGATGCCCCTCAACCGGACCAACGGCAACGTCGGCGGAGAGCAGGCAGAGGACCGCCGCCGAATACGTCTCATCTTCGACAAATACGACACCGATGGGGATGGCCTGATCAGTACGCCGGAACTGAAGGCTTTGATTGCCAGCGCCGGCTGCCGGGACATGCCCCCCCACATGGCCGAGCAGATAATGCGGCGCAGCGACGAGGATAACGACGGCTGCCTGGACTTTGAGGAGTTCTATGCCATGTCCCTGCGCCAGCGTTGGATCATGCGTCGTCTGGTGGCTCGCTACTGTCGCTATGTGGTGGCACCGCCAAAGCCCAAGGCCGCGGATGAGGTGGATGGCGAGTACGAGCGTCAGATGTCACTCTGCCCGCCGCCGCTTACCATGATCATCTTCTCCATTGTCGAGATCATTGCCTTTCTGGTGGATGTCATACACTTCCAGGATGATCCCAACTACGAGGGGAATATCGGTGAGAGTGTTAATGGACCGGCGGCGACGCTGTGCATCTACAATCCCTACAAACGCTACGAGGCCTGGCGCTTCGCCAGCTACATGTTCGTCCATGTGGGGCTGCGCCATCTGGTGATGAACCTGATCATTCAGATCTTTCTGGGCGTTGCTCTGGAGCTGGTGCATTCGTGGTGGCGCGTGGCTTTGGTCTATCTGGCCGGTGTCATGGCCGGCTCCATGGGCACTTCCCTGAGCAGTCCGCGGACCTTTCTGGCCGGAGCCTCGGGCGGTGTGTACGCCTTGATCACCGCCCATGTAGCCACGATCATCATGAACTACTCGGAGATGGAGTACGCCATTGTCCAGCTGTTGGTCTTCCTGGTGGTCATCTTTGCGGATCTGGGCGGATCGGTGTATCATCACCTGACGGATGAGTACGATCGGATTGGGTATGTGGCGCATCTGTCCGGCGCCGTGGCCGGGCTGCTGGTGGGGATCGGGGTGTTGCGGAACCTGGAGAAGCGACCCTGGGAGCGAATCCTCTGGTGGATAGCCGTCATCGTGTACTTTGCCCTTATGTTCACTGGAATCCTGGTGCACATCTTCCTGCCCGATTACTTCCCCAAGCCGGTGTACAATTAGAACTGAGTTTCGAGTCCTAAACTTGTATTAATTCCCCCCTAAAACTGTAAATATATGCATAGGTTAATGTAATAATAGGTTGCTATTGATCGGATCTTGGCTCTATGAAAGTCTATATGAAAGTCTGCAGCAGGCGTAAATAATTAAAATATTTATAAATACAATTTAAATATGTAAATGTAATTGATGTAACACACAAATATGAATCAATAAAAATAAAGGGAAATCAATGTGGAATTAATTGGTTAAGAGGGGAGTAAGGTATTTAATTTTAGCCGTTTCGCCACAACATTTGTTTTAAAAACTGGTAATTTTTGCACCGAATTAGATTTGCAGATTTCTTAACCTATCTCCGCTTTCCGAATGAAAATCTCAGGCCAAGTCCCAGCAATTTGGCCAGAGTTTTCCCTGCAAATGTTCTTGTATCCTTATACCCCTGCAGGGTATTTTATTTCCAGTCCGAAGCTCATTACGCATTGAAGGAATCATTTCCGACCCCATAAAGCATATATATTCTTGATCAGCATTAACAGGCGCATCTTTCTGGCCAAGTCCGGAAGAAAAATTTTTTTTTTGTGATTTTTTTTTGAAATTCGATAAGGGGTTACATCATTAAAATTCTCAAAATTTGATAAAATTTTCAATTTCTAACTAAGTATGCAGAGTTGTTAACCTTATAAAAACTAACATAACGCCGCTTTCCGAATGCAAATTAAGGCATTTTTGACAGAGTTATGCCTTTTTTAGTTTTTAATTTGATATTTTTCTCATTTCAATTACAGACTTTCCATCGTCATTGCCATCGCCATTGCTCCTAGTCATCAGTACCACCCACCCTGGCCAAACACCAAGAGAAAGGACCAACGACACTCGCAAAAGGATGGTGGATAAGGGATGGGAACGGAGGAACAGGGATCAGGAATCAGGGATAAGGAGAGAGCACCGCCAGTCAGGTCTGCCGGCTACTTTTACAACAACAGCAACGAACAAAACAAGCAACATTTTAATTTTAAAATACTTTATTTTATTCTATGTTAATGAACCTAAATAAAAACAATGAAATACATTATTTTATATTATTTTGTTTTATTTTATTTTTCCTATATAAGAACAATGAAATGAGCATCACTGGTAGTAAGTGAGATGCCATTTTAATGCAAAATAGCTAGATGAGCATCACTGGCAGTTAGTGAGATGCCATTTTGTCCCAATAATGCAAAATAGCTGGATGCGCATCACTGGCAGTTAGTGAGATGCCATTTTCTCCCAATAATGCAAAATAGCTAGATGCGCATCACTGCCGTTAAGCCTGATTTTATAGCCTCCCAATAAGGCAAAATAGCTAGATGAGCATCACTGCCATATAGCGCGATTTTATTGCCCCCCAATATTGCAAAATATAGCCAGATGAGCATCACTGATGCACATAAGCATCACTGATGCAAGTGAGCAAAATTTCTAAAATTTGGCCGCTTTCCAAACTGGGGTAACAGGCGAACAGAAACCAACAGCAAGAAACTGAAAACTGGTATAAACTGTTATAAAAACTTTTGGGCAAAAATAATAATTGGTATAAACTGTTATATTTCATTGTATGCATTTATACCTATTTGTTGCCGACAACAACAGCTTGATGGCAACAACAACCTTTTTACAACAACATCTCTACAGCAGCCCATCCAAATTTCCGAACATTTCCATGCAAATTACCCGTTTCCCAAATTGGGGTAACAGGCGAACAGAAATCTGCAGCAAGCAACTGAAAACTGGTATAAACTGTTATAAAAAGTCCAAGTTTCGAACCATTGATCTTGGAGTAAGCACAGACTCAAACCAGATGTGACCATATTGTTAATTTCTGTCTAAAATGTTGTTAAATGCACCTGGGCACACTGAAACTGAGCGGAGACTCAAACCTTTTGAATCTATATTTAGGTGTTATTTTACAACTGCTCCTGGGCACACTGAAACTGATCAGGTGCAGTTGTAAAATAACACCTAAATTTGGATTCAAAAGGTTTGAGTCTCCGCTTACTTGCGCCGGCTCTTAAATGGTTCGAAACTTGGACTTTTTATAACAGTTTATACCAGTTTTCAGTTGCTTGCTGCTGATTTCTGTTCGCCTGTTACCCCAATTTGGGAAACGGGCAATTTGCATGGAAATGTTCGCAAATTTGGATGGGCTGCTGTAGGGATGTTGTTGTAAAAAGGTTGTTGTTGCCATCAAGCTGTTGTTGTCGGCAACAAATAGGTATAAATGCATAAAATGAAATATAACAGTTTATACCAATTATTATTTTTGCCCAAAAGTTTTTATAACAGTTTATACCAGTTTTCAGTTGCTTGCTGCTGGTTTCTGTTCGCCTGTTACCCCAGTTTGGGAAGCGGCCAAATTGAATGAAAAATTTTGCTTGCTTGCATCAGTGATGCTCATCTGCATCAGTGATGCTCATCTGGCTATATTTCAATATTGGGGGGCTTAATGGCAGTGATGCTCATGTGCATCAGTGATGCTCATCTAGCTATTTTTTTTGCGTTATTGGTAGAAAATGGCATCTTATTAGCTGCCAGTGATGCTCATCTAGCTATTTTGCATTATTTGGACAAAATGGCATCTCACTAACTGCCAGTGATGCTCAACTAGCTATTTTGCATTATTGGGGCAAAATGGCATCGCACTAACTGCCAGTGATGCTCATCTAGCTATTTTGCATTATTGGGACAAAATGGCATCTCACTAACTGGCAGTGATGCTCATCTAGCTATTTTGCATTATTGGGACAAAATGGCATCTTACTAGCTGCCAGTGATGCTCATCTAGCTATTTTGCATTATTGGGACAAAATGGCATCTCACTAACTGCCAGTGATGCTCATCTAGCTATTTTGCATTATTGGGACAAAATGGCATCTTACTAACTGCCAGTGATGCTCATCTAGCTATTTTGCGTTATTGGGACAAAATGGCATCTCACTAACTGCCAGTGATGCTCATCTAGCTATTTTGCATTATTGGGACAAAATGGCATCTCACTAACTGCCAGTGATGCGCATCCAGCTATTTTGCATTATTGGGACAAAATGGCATCTCACTAACTGCCAGTGATGCTCAACTAGCTATTTTGCACTATTGGGACAAAATGGCATCGCACTAACTGCCAGTGGTGCGCATCTAGCTATTTTGCATTATTGGGAGAAAATGGCATTTCACTAACTGCCAGTGATGCTCATCTAGCTATTTTGCATTATTGGGACAAAATGGCATCTCACTAACTGCCAGTGATGCTCATCTAGCTATTTTGCATTATTGGGACAAAATGGCATCTCACTAACTGCCAGTGATGCGCATCCAGCTATTTTGCATTATTGGGACAAAATGGCATCTCACTAACTGCCAGTGATGCTCATCTAGCTATTTTGCATTAAAATGGCATCTCACTTACTACCAGTGATGCTCATTTCATTGTTCTTATATAGGAAAAATAAAATAAAACAAAATAATATAAAATAATGTATTTCATTGTTTTTATTTAGGTTCATTAACATAGAATAAAATAAAGTATTTTAAAATTAAAATGTTGCTTGTTTTGTTCGTTGCTGTTGTTGTAAAAGTAGCCGGCAGACCTGACTGGCGGTGCTCTCTCCTTATCCCTGATTCCTGATCCCTGTTCCTCCGTTCCCATCCCTTATCCACCATCCTTTTGCGAGTGTCGTTGGTCCTTTCTCTTGGTGTTTGGCCAGGGTGGGTGGTACTGATGACTAGGAGCAATGGCGATGGCAATGACGATGGAAAGTCTGTAATTGAAATGAGAAAAATAGCAAATTAAAAACTAAAAAGGCATAACTCTGTCAAAAATGCCTTAATTTGCATTCGGAAAGCGGCGTTATGTTAGTTTTTATAAGGTTAACAAACCTGCATACTTAGTTAGAAATTGAAAATTTTATCAAATTTTGAGAATTTTAATGATGTAACCCCTTATCGAATTTCGAAAAAATCACACAAAAATTTTTCCCTCCGAACTCCGGAGCCAACTCGGCTTAAACGATTCGCCTGCTGATGCTGATCAAGAATATATATGATTTATAGGGTCGGAAATGATTCCTTCGATGAGTTTCAAGCTTCTGACTGAAATTTTAATACCCTGCATAACTTTGAAAATTCATAACTCGGTCAAGAATGCATTAATTTTACTTTTGAAACGGTTTTATGTTAGTTTTTATAAGGTTAACAACTCTGCATACTAACCCCTTATCGAATTTCGAAAAAATCACAAAAAAAATTTTTTTCTTCTGGACTTGGCCAGAAAGATGCGCCTGTTAATGCTGATCAAGAATATATATGGTTTATGGGGTCGGAAATGACTCCTTCAATGCGTAATGAGCTTCGGACTGGAAATAAAATACCCTGCAAGGGTATAAGGATACTAAAATAATTGTCATTTTTTGTTTAAATTTTTTAAAAATTATAGATAAGTATTTTAGCAAAACTGAGTATGCAGTATTGAGCTTATTTCAATTATCCCACCCAAAAAAAAAATAAAGCCACATCCTCCTCATCACCAAAAATAACACATGTTTTAAGGTTTATTATTTATTTCAGCTTTAAATAAATAACAGAAGAAAAGGTGAGGCATGTGGGAATGTCGGAGGTCGTTCCCAGTGGTTTCGGCTCGGTCTTGGTCGCATCCTCCTCGTGCTGATCCTCCTTGCCAACGCTCTCTATCTCGCCATCGGCATCCGCATTCAGTTCCTGCCAGCTTGCTGCAATTAAATTTAGAAAAAAAGGGTGCGATTTATTTTGATATTTTTTTGGGGGAAAAAAACATGAAATTCAACAACAATCTATTATTACAACAAAGTTAATATTAAATTAAATTGTATTTAATTTAAACCCGAATCGAAATTAACGCCTTTTTGTCTGAATTATAATATTTTTAAATATATTGTTGATGGCAAATATATTGTGAATTATTTTTAAAGCCCATATACTACTTAAATGTTGTTTTTAAATTTTTAAATTTTAGATTTTATATTTAATAAAGCAAAAAATGGATATATTAATGGAAAACTGAAACCTTTTTCACCTGCCCTAATGGTTTTCTTATCAGCTACAGCTTAGAGCTTGAACCTCATCAAAGCTAAGGCCATAAGCTCTCCTGTCCTGGCCAAATCTGAGCCATTTTCGCCACCATTTACTCCGAAAAGCTCCTGGCTTCGATCCGAGCCTCCTCTGTTGGTTAACAGAAGAGCCACCCTTGGAGGGGGGTGGTATCCTTTATCCTCCCACCGGGACCGGGAAGGGGCTGTGGCCCAGCTCCATGCTGATTGCCAGAAAGCCAAGCCATGTTCAGCCGCCGCTAGTTCCAGTGCAAATCATTGGGAACTCCCGCTGGGCATAAACTCCACACCCCACACCCCACAACCCCCATTGAAGTAAAAACAAGCGGAATTTTTGTGTTATATTTTATGTTAAACATTTATTTCATTATGTTTTCGGATGTCCTAATGCGGTCTGTCTGCCACCAGGCACACGCCGCCCACTGGTGGCTGGCCACCCGCCAGGATCCATCATCAATCAAGTGGCTCTGGTGGCTATCTGGTGACAGAACGAAGGGAAAGCTAAGCGGAGGGAAAGGGGACAGGATTCAAGGGAGAGAGGAAGGTAGGCAGAGTCCAGCTCGTAAAGTGGAAAAGATTGAGAAGAGAATTGGGTTCGTCCAGGTGGGGGCTTGGGAGTTGGTTGCTGTTAATGCCTAGATATTTATTCGTGTACTCACATAGAAATGCATCACATTTATGTTTAGTTTTTTTTTTTTTGTTTAGTTTAGTTTAGTTTAGTTAGTAGCTTGGCTTGTCAAAGCAACAACACACACTGACATCAATATAACATATATCTCTATATGGATATAGTATATGGTTAGCGTTTTACATCAATAAATTCTTGTTTATTCATTGTTGAAATGTATTTCAATGCTGCATTATTATATATTGTAGACACAGATATACACGGCTATGTAATCGGTATTGTATATAGTGTAATGCCTTGGATATTCTTGTTCTCTTAAAGATCTAAACATTAAAAATCGTAGATTTCCTTGATCTCCTTCCCTCCTGACAACTGGCATTTAGCATCTGGAATACCTCTTCTCAAAAACTATAGCTATTCATAGAGACTACTGTTCGGAACAATGCTGGATTTCTATCATATTCTGCCTGCCCAGTGCCCGCCTTCGCCTTTCTCTTAATTAACTTAGTACTTCCAATAATATATGTTTTTGGCTCTCTGGCTGTGTTTAAATGGGTTTAAGTGATGGGTAAATACTCTTTCTTTTGTCAGTTTGAAACCGCACACAAATGTATATAGGCTTTAGGTTGTTCTTGTGTTGTGTTTTGCCCTTTTTGGCCTCTGTAAGATTTCATTTGTCGCTTGTAAATACACATCAAACATTTAATATTCGGTAAATATATATATGTTTATGTGTATGTGTATGTATGCGATTAATTAGGTAATTGCCGAGCCACCCTAAGGGTGTCGATACATCGAGTACTTGTACATGCATATGGACTTGACATTCACTTACGTCTCTACAGTAAATATATATTTATTTTGGATGTGTTTTTTGGGTTGGCTTGCTCTTAAACTTTGCTTTTCTTACCTTTTGCAACCCCTATTTCAGAGCTAATACTGGCATAGCCTCCCAAGAACATCTTCAATATCATCAATTTCAACGCATTGCATGGCTAATATCAAATGATAAACCTTACAGGCTAGTGACTACATCTAGCTCGGCTTCAAGTTCAACTCGTTCGTCGGTTTCGCCTAACGCTTCCGCTTTCGATTTCGTTCAATCTGCTAAAATTTCACCCTTAATTCATTGTCCTGATTCCTAGGGAATGCCAAAAGCTAACTAATACATCAATGTGCCAGCCATTCGAATGTCCTAAGCCCTATGTCCTAACACGCTACTGGTTACTCGCTCTTCGCTGGTCGTTTGGCTCTCGTCAGGCTTGGTAGCTCGTCGTCACTCGTCTTTGTTTTACTTGCTCCTTATTTCTATTGACTCGCTACTCTCGCTGCTGGTTACTCGCTCATTGCTGGTCTCTCGTCAGGCTTTGTCCTTGGTTTATTTTGTAGCTCGTCACTCGTTGCTGCTCTCCTTTCACCTAAGCTCTATTGATTTGCTACTCTCAGGCTTTGTCCCTCGCTTGTAGCTCGTCGCTCTTGGCTTTTCTCCTTTTTTTTTGGAAACCTTCAACCTGCTTAAAAACAACTTTAAGTTAAGCTCCTGCCTTATTCCTCATTCCTCCCTCCTTACATACATATATCATTTATCCTGCCTCCTAACTTGTGACTTTTGAAACCGGAACTGAAACATTTTCGTTTTAAATGTACATTCGGTTAATTACTTTGCTAGCTCTTCAATTCTCTGGATTCTCTGGATCCGGATCAACTGCTTTAAATACAAATCAAACTGCAGAAGGAGATGGACTCCTTCTTAAGCCTCCTACTAACTATATCTTAATTTTGATAGAAATGTATGTGCTTGTGTGTCCAGAAGTAGCAAGTCAAGATTTACAAGATGCAAGAGCGGGTTGCAGGCTGGCATCGATCTGATATCAAAACAAAAATGGAAATAAAATAGGGATTTTGATTTCGATTTCGATTTCGATTTAAGAAGGGAATAAACCTGGATTAAAACTTAAGACCAGATCGATGCCAGTCTCGCCTTAATTAGGGATCTGGGGAAGCGGAACTGAAAGGACTCGCTGCGGCCTCCTCTACGGCTTTCTCTTGCGCTTGGCAAACATCTGGGACCACAATCAGAATCACACATTCGATGACTTGGGCACTGCGCCGGTCTGGGCACCAGGGCCTCGGGCGCGGCCCTCTGGCTGCTCTCGCTGCTCCTGCCGCTCCCTCTGCTCCTGCTGCACCTCGTCGCGATCGGGCGATACCTGCTCCAGATGTATCTGAACAATGTGCTCCTCCTCCTCGTCCTCGGCGGTGGGGCCCTGCTCCTCCAAATCACGAGCCAAAGTCTCGCTGCGCTGCAGGCGACGCTTGTGAGAGCCATTCCTTGGAACCGGCACTCGGATATTGAACTCATCATCCACGCTCTCGATCCTGTCCAGATGCGAAGCACTTTGAGCCTGAGCTGCTGCTGCAGCTGCGGCGGCAGCAGCACTGGTGGAGGGTCCATCGCCAATCTCAGCAGCAGCTGCTGCATTGGAGGCTGCCTGCCGCCGCCCATTTCTCTTGCCCACGGGCACATCCTGCAGAGCCAGGCGCTCCATCTCCAGACGCAGCTCACCCAGCGTGGCCGAGGCAAAGCCAGGACGCTGGGTCTCATCCACATGGACAAGGACAAAGGGCAGCTTCAGCGACAACTCGCCGCCCATGCCGCTAAGGGTGAGCTTCACCTTGACATAGTACGAAACGTAGATGGCAAAGACATTGCGCTCCTCGGTGCCGCCGGATGAATTCGAATTGCCAGAGGGATTGGCCGCCTGAATCTGCTGGCAGGCCGGTGCCTGGTACTGGTGCGGATGGGGTGTCACCAAAGCGGGACTGGCCAGCGGATGGCCGGCCAACAGCTGGGCATTTTGGAATACAAAGTGCGGCGATCGAATGGCCGAGGCGGCAATGGCACCGGTGATCTCCTCCGGCTCAGTGCTACGCTGCAGTGTATCCTCTAAAGCAATCCAGTTCTTGGTGGGACCACGTTGCGGCCGAAGCTTGACCACCGTGTTCAGGGAGGCTCCGGCGGCCACGGTGCGATCCACCGGTGGTGTTATGTTATCCGAGTCGGCGACCACGTTCTTGAACTTGCCATTGTTGAACATGCACACGTCCACGTGCTGGATGGCGCAGACCTAAGGGAAGAGAGAAGAGCAGAGAAGGGTTTTGAGTGAGAGAGAGAGAGATGTGGGTTATGGGACGGAGGAGGGTTTTCTGGGGCATATGAAAAGGTCATCTTGGGAGTTAAGGGAGGCAACAGAAGGCAGGCGACCTTGCGGTTAATGTCCGCCACCCAGGACTCCACCTGAAGAAGCCAATCCAAGTCCAAGTCCTGGGCAATTGCAGGGCCTCACACAACAGGCTTTAGTCAATTGGGAATCGATGGGGCAGTGGTTCAAGGGAATACTCTGCTTTAAAAGCTTAAAGGATAACAAATTCCAAGCAATAATAAAGCTAGTTTTAATTTATAAATATTATTTAGAATTTAAGTAAACTTTCTTAAAGAAAATAAATAAATACAAATAGTAATAAGTCTCCTCTAGGCCAGAAGAAAGCTTCAAAATCATTCTTTTCATTGAGAAAGTTAAATTAAAATAACGATTTTCTTTAAAAAAAAGTTAAATTAAAGTCTAAATTATATTTATAATTTAACGAATAAATATATACAAAACCCCCAAATAATTATATTTAACAAATAAATAAGCCTCCTTTTAACCAAAAGACAGACAGAAAGAAAGAAGAGCATCCTGTTCCCGGTTTGACTATTTATTATCCAAAATCCCGTCTGGTTTTCTTTTTTTTTTTTTGGGCCCCCTTGGGTCCTGTTTGCCTTTGGATAAGCGCAAACGATGTCGAACATTATTTTATGGCCTCGGCCGAAATGTCTCTGGCCCAATCTCCCACCCAATCAACGATAATGCACTCAATTACCGGCCATTCAAGTGGCCGTGCAGGCAAAAGCCAAAAGGAAAAACAAGGCGAAATAACAAATTAAACCCAGAATTGCCCTCATTTATTGACGTTGCCCCATCAGAGTCGATTTCTGGCGGTGGCAAATGTCGGCGTTGACCTGCTGTCACTGCTCTTTATGTGCAATTTGGCCATCAAACAAAGGGAAAAGTCACAAAGGAAAAGGAAAACCACCATACATGACTAGGATTTCTCATGAGCAAAGTTTTGGTTTCACGAAAAAAACGTATTTAACATTGATTTTATATGTAATACATTTTCTAGATTTGTTTTTTAATATTTTAATAAAATTTTGACATAAAATCCTTCATGAAAATCTTCCCTGCTCAGCCTGAATTATTTTTGTTATTAATAAAGAATTTAACATAGATTTTATTTCTGGCTTTGTAAAGGTAAATCAATCGTGAAATAAATTTCAAAAATATATAAGCTGTGTTTTCTATATATTTTTGTATATTAAAAATAAATCCTGACATAGAATCCTTCTTGAATTTCCTTCTGGCTTATCCTAGATTATTATCCTCATTAATATCTCTTTGAAAACCAGGCAAAAGTGTCTCTAAATTGAATCCCAGACACACATTATAAAAACATACAAGTATAAATTACAATAAATTAATATATCCCCCCTGAGAAACACACCTGTGAATTTCCCTTTCATTTCATCTCTAGGAATATGCCAGGACTTTTGAGTCGCGAGTTTTGCTTTACGAAAGGATCCCCGGCTTAGCCCCGACTCCAGGGCATGTGCTGGATTTCTCAGGGAGAGCACAATGTAGAGGAACTCTCCTCCACGTGGCCTGACTTCAAAGGACGAAATGCCAGGCGATTCCATGCCATTTCACTCCGTCCTCAGCCATTGTTAGCGTTGCGGCACAGTCCGGCCACAGATCTAATCTGAGATATGCTTTTGGGTTCTCCAAAGAGATGGGTGAAGGGGGGGAGTAGGGTGTAAGGGTGTAAGGAAGCATCTTGGGAACTGGCACCCATCTAAAACTGGTCCCCAATCGAAATGAGCAATCAAAAATCTTTCATCGACTGTTTCAATTCACAATTTCATTCATTTCCCTCCTCCTCCTCCTCCTCCTCCCAGACAAGTACCCAGCAGAACAGATGACCAAGTTACCCAAGGACCCACCGCCGCCGCTGGTAACTTTTGACCTTTGTTGGGTGACTTTGGTGAAAAACACACAAAAAGTACAAAGCAATCTCGGGCACACACACAAAAAATATACATATTTAATAAGGCGCAAAGTGCATGATGAAAATAAGGACAACGAGCCGCCGGGGGGAGCCGCCGGGGGGAGCCGCAGAAAAATACAAAATATATATATTTATATATCTAAAATACTATATATAAATGTGCGGGGGGTGCCATCAAATCAAATCGAATTATGCGACTGCATAAAAGATGGCAGCAACTTGTCACAAGGACGACAAGGACGACAAGGTTGTCCCTTGGAAATGTTATTTGCTGCTACAAGAAAACAATTTTGGAGGCATTGCGTTTGACAAACAGGAAGCCCCACAGACACCATTAATTATGCAGGCCAGATGTCCGTTTAGTTTTTCAGCTTTTTCAGTTTTTAAACTGGGGAAAACTGCTAACAATATAAAAAGGAAACTAACTTTGGGGAAGCCAAAAAGGTATTCAAACCTTAAAGGATTGTTTTAGAAAAGAACAATAAAGATAGCTGAAAGTATTTGAAAAGGAAGTCTAATAACAAGTTTTTTAATATGAAAAATCAGTTTAAATAATATTTTTTTCTGGGTGAAGGAGCCATTTCCGACCCCATAAATCATATATATTCGTGATCAGCATCAACAGCAGAATCGATTTAGCCATGTCAGAAGAAAACAAATTTTTTTGAGATTTTTTCAAAATTCGATAAGGGGTTACATCATTAAAATTATCAAAAAATCGAAAAACATAAAAATTTAAATTAAGTAAGCAGATTTATTAACCTTTTAAAAACTAAGATAAAACTGCTTTCCGAATTAAATTTAAAACATTTTTGGCTGAGTTATAGATTTTTAAAATTTTGGTTATTTCTCAAAATCATCCAAAAAATTCCATAATTTTTTTTTTAATTTTTAAAAGATTTACTTCGTTTAAACTCTCAAAAATTGACAAAAAAAAATTGAATTTAAAAATCCCTAAAATTTTGTATGCAGATTTATTAACTTAAAAAAAAGAAAAACTAAGACAAAACCCCTTTTCGAATTGAATTTAAGACATTTTTGGCTGAGTTATAAATTTTTTAAATTTAGATTTTTGTCAAAAAAATCATCAAAAAATTGTATAAATAAAAGAAATTCTATAAATAATATAAATTAATTAATTAAAAAAAAGAAATAAAATATAAACAAAATTTCTTTCTTGTTTTTCTAGATTTTGTCTTAAAAAAATGTCTTTTGAGCTAGTAAAAAATATAAAATAAAGGCAAAGAGTGCCCCAACTTCTGATTCAAGTTAATCCCAGAGGTCACTGGTTTTTAATTAATCTTTTATTGCTGAAGGAAGGAACAGGGAGCAAGGAGCAGAGAGCAGGAGCAAGGAGCCAGTAACAAGTGTGTTGTCCTTGGGGAACGCTTTAAAGTCACCACCCCCATCCCATCCCCCCCCCTCGATTGATATATTGAGTTTGGCGGATCGTTATTTACGCCCGCAGACAAGTCGCTGCCATGTGTAAATGTCATAACTTGTATCTGTCGCTGACTGTGTACCGACCAGGACCGTCTGTCCTCTATTCATCGGCGAACAACAATGTGCTGTGAAAATACAGCGGTTACAATAAAAATAAACAATAACATTTGATGGAGGGGAGGAGGGATGACGGGCATCATAAAACATTTTTCAATGCGCACTCAAAGTCCTGGATGTAGACTACTCCTTGTTCTGGAGAACTTGCTGCCGTCTGCACTCTGCCATTTGGATGCCATTTCATTCCATTCGATTCGATTCGATTCGATTGTCTCCTGTCAGGCTCGAGCTGTGTTTGCGTTATGCATTTTGCATTAGCCTCAAAGTTCCATTTCCATTTCTTGCGGCTTTGCTTGGGCCTTGTACCCCACCTCGTATGCGTAATATCCGGTGCGTAATTAAAAGGGGAGGGACACCTGTGACTTGTAATGATCGAAATGCCTATGAAAGAGGTCCTGCAGGAGCTAAGTAAGGCTATTCAAGGTCCTTTTAAGGTTTTTTGAAGTTTAAAATGATCAGTAAATAATAATTAATAAATAAGGAAGGTATAACTAGAAGCCAGTTACTTGAAATTGAAGATTTAGCTTGAGGATAATTCAACTCAACACCCTTAACCAGCAGCTTAACCTTGACTTAATTCACCAAGATAAAAGATTTCCCTTTCAGACACATTTTTCCCCTTTTACAAAGTAACTAAAACTGTGCAAAGCAGATTAGTTCTGGTTGCTGCGGCAATCGTACTTAGCGTTTTGCATAACGCCCAACGTGTCCTGCGGTTACGTTCACCTGTCGTCCTCAATCCCAGCACAGCTGACCACGAATGTGTTGGCGTGTGCGTGTGTGGGTAGGTAAGCTCAGAGCTCTCAGAGTCCAAGCGGAGGAGGTGACAATGCCAGGTTCCACGAGGGAATTCGGTAATTCGGAAATTCAAAATGGGATAAAACGAGTGAGAGAGCTGGTGGAAGGTTTTCAGGATTAGGCCAAAGCCAGTCGCAATGCGAAACTGTAGCCTACTTTTGTGTGTGTGTCCCATTTTCCCCTTTAAATACAAAATGTCCTTGGAGGAGGGATGCCTGAGCCTGAGCCTGCAATCGAAAAGGTAGGTGGTAGTGGGTGCCTTTGGGGCACAATAAAAGCCCGAGACGAGGAGGTAGGGTGGTTGGTTAAAGCCCATAAAATGTATAAACACAATTTTCACTTCAACTGAGTCTGAGTCTTTTGCCAGCCTTTCACTTTGTTGCAATGGCAACTTTCTGGGCCTCCTTTTCCAGGATTTCTTTCTGTTTTTTTTGAAGTTTGTGTGCTTGTGTGTGTATTTTTGTGTAGTGTGTTTAAAGCATCAATTGAATCCTTAGAAATCCCTAGGATTTCGTTAGAACTTCAACCTTCAACAGGGGACACCTGGAGTATGCTTAATCCTGGCTGACAATATACCTTGCAATAATTCGAAAATTATCTTAGATAATTGATTTAACAGCTATAATCCCTTACAGAGCTAAGACAATGGATAGAGGGAGGTGGTAGCTGAAGGCTTCCTGACCCCGTGACATTATCCTTGTCCCCGTTGCGCATCGAGAGTCACTGCTGTCGAGTGGCTTTGATTAACTGTCATAAGTATGACTTCAGGGGGCGGGCAGATTCCCCTTCGTTAGCGTCAAGCTAAACAGCTTATGTGCTCCACGAGGGGTCGGTGCATTACATTCCCCAGGACAATGCACATACGTAATTCGGATTTTTCCCAAGGGCCAACTGCTGTTGCTGCTCCTGCTCCTGCTCCCTTATCCTTCGGCCCAAGCAGTCAATTATCAACAGCAAAACGAGGTAATTTCGCATCACTTGCTGCAAATTCTATTGTTTACGAAATAATCGCATTACCCCAGGGGGGCGTACGAACTCTCTAAACAAATTGAAGGATGCTAAACTGGTCCTGATTGGCAGGGCAGGTTTGTGTTTCTGATGGGGGGATTCATTTCCTTTTGTGTTTCAGGCAATTTAAACTTTAAAACTGGCCAACTGAATTCCATCAATTATGGTATTTGCAGACTTTAACTTAAGATCATTAACTAAATTTAAATAAAGTTACAAATTAAAAAAGTTATCAAAAAAGAGCTGTAGGTTCTTGGCCAAATAAAGATAATAGAAAATAGAAAACAGAGGCCATAATCAGGACTCTTAAGGGGGTTTATTCGGTTCAAAATGAGACACTTTTAAAAAATTTGTTGTGGCAAATCGGTCAAAGTTAGCAGTTAGATCAAAAAGCAACAGTTTGCCAGGACCACATTGCGTATACGTTATATTCATGGCTCAACCACAAACACAACATTGTTGAGGGTTGCCTGCATAATCAAGGATCAAAAGCAACATGGTTGAGGGTAAGTATAAAAGAGCTAATTGATGGGGCAAGGAAATTGGAATATATACCAAGTAAAGCCAAGGGAATGGTAAAGAAAATCCTTATAAAAAAACATAGAAAAAACTCCCCCAACTTACCCGAACTTTGCGAACCGTCTTGCGGCTGTCGTTGCGTATCTGAACGGTCACATTGACATCCTCGCCATGCGTGTACCAGCCCTTATCCAGGCTGGCCCTTAGACCCACGCGTCCATCATGAAGCAGAAAGGGTTTGTCCACAGAGCCCTGGGGTCCACCGCAAGGACCCACGCTGACGCCGCCAATCCCACCAGTTACTCCAGCGCCAGTATGCGGTGGCAACATGCTGTCACAGTGCTGAAAATTAAATATATATAGTAATTCCTGGAAGAGAACTACTATTCCCTCTACTCACCTCCTGAAAGGACTTGCTGTAGTTGTGAAATGGATCATTTGGACACTTTTCGATCTCGCTCTTGCTGCGCCCAAAGCGACCGCTGAAGCGAAAGGATTTCGGTGAGAGGCGCAGCTTGGGAAAGGAGTCACCACGCTCGGACTTGGCCTTTTGCTTGGAACCGCTGGCCGGCTGCGAATGGGAATGGGAGTGGGGATGATTGCAGGATTGCTGCTGCTGCTGCTGCTGTTCACCGCCTCCCCCCTCGGCACTGGTGGGGGGCGTGGCACTGGCCGGCGGTGACTGAGCGCCGCCATGCTGACCGCCAGCAAAGGCGGCAAAGTGTTCGGGAGCCAAGTTCTGGTGAAAGACATCCGTGCGATAGATGACCCGGACGCCCATTTTGACGGAGGCGCGACGATGGAACTTCTCATCGGTCTTGTCGGCTGGAGGATCACAGAAAGAAGGAGGATCCCGGTGGGGAAAGAAAAGAAAAAAAAGAAAAGGAAACAGATTAGTAAATTAATTCTAGGAAATGTCCTTTCTTTGCCGCTGCCATTGCCGCTAAGCTTTATTTATTTTAGTTTTTATTTATTTTTTAGTTTGTTTTAAGGATCTCCAAAGCGTATCCTGCTTAATTTCAGGTCTTAATTTTGTGTGAGGTCAGGTCCGTCGTTAGTCCGAATGCCAAATGATCATGAATGCGAGTTGTTTTTAGTTTTGCGGTTTTAATTTTTGCCCCAGGCAGGCAGGCGGCTACTTGAATGGATTGAAGGTCCTTTAAAGGCTGTTTACATATCATTTATTCCTTGGGGAAAGTATTTAATATGTAGACAGCCTCTATGTGGGCTGACTTTATATGAAATATAGAGCTGGAAATTAATCGATTTACAGGAAATCGATTTTTTTCTTCTAAAAAATCTATTATAATCGATTAATATAGGGAAATAATTAATTTGTTTATATATATATTTTATTATTAATTTTATTTATTATTTCGTATGTATTGCCATTATCGATTATACTCGATTATGATCGAAATAAATCGAAACCGGTAATAATTTTAATTATATTAAAAAAAAAATCGATTAATTGATTATAAAATCGATTTAATTTCCAGCTCTAATGGAACAAATCGGAATGAAACATTTAGAAATGAAAGAGAGGTGTGAGTAACTGAGATGGATAGATGGAGAATGCAGGTGGGGAGTGGGAATAGCGGCAAGAGAGGTTCAACATCAAGAGAGATTAATCACAACGATGGGTAGGGAGGATCAGGATACACTGAGAGAGGAAAAGATACAAAGAGAGATAAAGAGAGAGAGAGAGCAAGCTACAACACCAAGAAACAAAATGGAATGGAACGGTTACGGATACGACAACGAGTTCTGACCGGAAATAGAGACACAGAGAGAGAGAGAGAGATTCCTCTAGCTGAACAAGACAATATCCACATCCATATTCACATTCACATCCACATCCACTGCCGCCCCCACCTGCTGCTTACCTTCGGGGGCCGTGCACATACACGCACAGCAGCCGCGGCAGAATAGCTCGAGGAGCCACCGGGTCAGCAGATTGGGACGCTTATGCCTGATCTTGGGGGCCGCGGCTCATATGGGCTCATCGTCGCTAAGGGACTCTATGGGAATATTGGATAAGGGGGGCGATACGAACGATATATGTATGTATATACGGGCTGAGATGAGGGGCGTGCGATAATGAAAATGGATGTACAGTACAGTTTCCCTTTCAACCCATAAACATATTTGGCAAGTACTTGAATCAAAAACCAAAGTAAGTAATCGGAAATTGTAGGGACAATGGGGAAATTTCGAAAGGAGGAAGCTGGACATGGCTGTGTGGTTCAAATCGCACAGATCTGTAATTAAAGTAGCTCCTCCAGACTCCATTCTACACAATGGCCATGCTTTTGTTGGTCCTTGAGAGCAGCACGTCTTCCTGCAATCCTGCTGACGGCTGCCCCCTGGCTGATGGCGTATAATTATGGAGGAGGAGCAGGAGGAGCAGGAGGAGCAGGAGGAGCAGGAGGAGCAGGAGGAGCAGGAGCAGGAGCAGGAGAAGGTGCCTGGAGCGGGAGAGCTTTGCATGCTAGATGCCACAATGGGACAAGTGACAGGACCACGACCACAACCAGGACTCGTCTTAGCTGGCGGCAAGTCGCACACTTTCATTTAACAGGATATTGCATATCGCAGGCATGTCCCGGTCAGCGAGAAAAAAATACAAAGAATCTCGGACAGGGCCGCGGGGTGCCACGGAGCAACTGAAACAATATCAACTCAATCCCAATCTGGGAATCCCAATCTGAATCTGAATCTGAATCTGGATCACAGCCAACAGCCTCGCCCCGTGAAAGCATTTAATATTGATTTTATTTTTTATTAATTTTCGCTGTCCACTTTCTCCAAGCAAAATCAAAGAAAACAAAAAAAAAAAAAAAGAGAAGCAAGAAATATCGCTTAAATTGAGTGTTTCAGGAGTGAGGATTGCCAGCTACTCAGTGTCCTTTGACAGGAGTTTAAATCAAGCACAAAACTAAGGCAAATCAATAATAAAAGCCATAATTAAATCAATAATTAAAACAATAATGAAACAATTTAATTATTGAAAATAATTAAGTCCATAAATAAATCAATAAATTAAATCAACAATTAAATTCATAATTAATTCAATAATTTAATCAATAACAAACTAAATTAATTATTAAAAATAATTAATTCAAAAGTAAATTCCATTATTAAATCCATCAAACTCTCTTAATAAGTTTCCAAATTAAAAAACTTTTTGGCCATATCGAGTTTCAGGCGTTTCAAGGATACCAAAGGATGCCAAAGGATGCCCGAGATTTGGGTGTTTGATTGTAAATAAATGAAAACACTCCCCTTGTAAGCACAAAATGTAGCCAAGGTATACGAAAATAAAACAAAAATTGTGTGGAGAACATTCGTTACACGAAAATCAATCACAAATCTCCCACCTTCCCTTCTCCGCTGCTGACGTCAGCGGGACAAAGGATTCGGGGGTACCTTCGTGCCGTCTGACGGACTGACGGACGGACGGACGGATGGATAGATATTTATACACACATATAATTGAGCTTCCATGGCACCCGCGTTGATTGTCGCCCAGTCACAGTCACGGTCACCACTCTCGGCCGGCTACCTTTGGGTTCTGTCGAAGAGGAGATTGGGTTTGATGGGGCGAGGTGGGTGGGTGCCAGGAGATGCGAGTGCTTCAGGTGTAGCCAGTCCCTGTCCCTGTCTATGACCCAGTCCCAGACAGACTGTCTCCATGTCCTTGGCCCTGTGTAAACCTGGCCAAGACTAACCAAGCTTTGCCATTTTGTTGTATTTTTTAAGGCTTTGACCTACTTTAAATTCTTGTATCCCTCTTCTTATATCTTTTTCTTTTGCATTTTTCTTAGATTAAGTTAAGTAAATATTCAGTAATTTCAAAGAAATAACACTCAAATGATTAAAGGAAAACCGAAACTATAAAAACAGTTTGAATTGGTAAAGGATTTTCAAGGTTTTCAGCTTGCAAAAAGCTTAAAATATATAAATGCAAGGTAAAAACCTCTTTAGAACTCTTGCTAAAATATTAATTAAGTTTTTATAAATATTTTAAATTAAAATATAAGAAACGTAGCAGAATTGGAATCTTCTTTTATTCTTTTACTCAAAAAAATATAAAATAAATAAACTATTTAAATTCCTGACCACGATTCCCTCCTCCTAACCCTTAGGCTATACTCTACACCTAGTCCCCCGGTCTGATCCTGGAGCCTTGCTAGTTCTAAGGACTTACCAATAAAGCAACGGACATCGTAGCTGGTGCCGATCGGGGCTCCATAGTAGCGCTTGGCCGGGACCAGCTGCACGCTGGGCGGGGCATGGGCGGATAGCGACAGGGTGAAGGGATGGGCGCCATCGCCCAGGCGCTTCATCAAAGCCTCCTGGAAAAAGAGAGAAAGGCGTATACCAGTTTTAGCATTTTGATTGATTCTCGCAGGAGCAGGAGCAGACCAAAGTCTGCGTAATTGCCTCAGTTACGGAAAATACTGGCGAACCGAAGGCGAATCGGATATGTTTATTTATTTATCACTTTAATTATGCATTTCGGCCTTGTTATTGTTGCGCTGAGGCTCAAAACAAAAGCGAAAATAAAATTGTTTGGCAGAAGCTGTTTCTTTGTCTGATTTGGATTCGGATTCGGGATTCAGAGGCTGTGTTATTGCCCGGCATTTCATTTGCATTTGATTACGCACATCTGTGTACATAAATATACAAAACATAAAGATACATGAAACTAGGGTGAACCTTGTTAGAGAATAAAATCTACAAAAAAATATAAATATAAATATAATAAATAAATATAAATATAATAAATAAATATAAATATAAAAAACATTTGATATATATATATATTTTTATATTTTTTATTATATTTACATTTATAATTATAATAATAAAATATAATATAATTATATATATATTATGTTATTTTTTTAACATTTATATTTATTATTTAATATTATTTGTATTATATTAAATATAATTATATTTTTGTTTACTATTTTAAGTAATAAATATAAATATTTTTTTTATTTATTTATAAATATAAATTATTTATTATTTAATATTATTTATTTTTATTTTTTTTTATTATTTTCAATAATAAATATATATATAAATAAATACAGTATTAAATATTTTCAATATAAAATTATATTTGTTAAGGCATTTAAAAAGGATATTTATGTTATATTTTAAAAATTTAAATGTGAAAAATTAAAACAAATCTCTTCATAATTAATTTTAGCATCCTTTGCTATCAAGGTCCACCCTTAAACAGCTCGGTGTATACACGCACATTCATATGCCAAGGACTAAATGCTGGCGCGTGTACTTATTCCCCAGGTTGCCTGGGACAACGGAAGCCACAAGGACACTGGGATTCGCCAGGGCCTCTGGCCACAAAAGGATGATGATTATGGGGATTTAACCGTCGTTGATGCAAGTGAGAGCAGGCAAGTTGGAAAACAAATGCATGAACTTTACCATTCGATAGCCTTGTCATCGCTTTGGTTGGTGTCTTCGAGTCTTGAGGCTCTGGATAGTATCCAGTATCCCTAGTACTTTTTTCTCGCCCTCAGTTAGACACCTCCGTTGTCCTGGCAGCAGCCAGGATACACACAGCTCACCCAGCTATATCCACTCCCTTCAAATTATAATCAATCGCTGGCGAATCTCTTTGCTTGGCCCCCATTCAATCTATCAAATATATATACATATGTATATATGCGGCAACAAGTTGTTCTTTTTCTAGCTATATCTTGGTATACACTGGGAGAAATGTGGAATTTATTAGAGAGCTATAAACCAGAGGGTTTCATAAGGAATAAGTTTGTTTGTTTGATTTTTAAAGCTTTAAAATATGAGATAAATGTTTAAATTGAGAAAATGGTTTTCAATTTGTTTAGAAGTAGTCACTCCCCTTTTCTCTCAGTGCCTTATTTCCTCTAAGCAAGCATCCCAAGTTCCCATCATCACTTTTGTTTGCCTATGCCTATTTCGAGCCCAGTCTCCCTCGCTTCCCCCATCTTTTCCGACTCTTGTTGCTGGCCAAGTTATTAAAATCAAATTTATTTAATTATGCGTGCGCCCCTCGACCGAGTCCTGTGAGGACCCTAAACGGATACGGTTGCCAGCGAGTCCATAATGCTGGAGACTTTCAGCTAACCGAATTCGTTTGGAAATGCGGCGATGGCAGGCAAATAAATTATTCCTTGCCAAATTTAATAAAAAATGCGAAAAAGTTGAATTTCGAAAGTTTTCTGGCCAGTAGCATCCTCCTTTACCTCCTCTTTGGGTCCTTGAGGGACCCCAAAAACAGGGTCTTTGGAATTTGGAGAGCCAATGGCAAACATTTGTTTGGCTTTTAGCTAAATTAAATTGATTTTCAATTGGTTTAAGTGCATCGAACTCGGTGGATTCCGAGAGGAACAACGGACAAGCATTACTATATACATATACATATATTTCGATTCGAGGCCGCACGTGAGATGTCAGCATCCGGTGTCCGGAGTCATAAAAATCCCAGAGTCGGGTCCTTCGAGTGGCTTCAAGGACTTGGGAGACTTGGCCTCGTCAGTCTGTTTGTCATAAAGCCTGTTTCGCATTAGCATTTGTCATTCGACAATAAAAATTGGAATAAAAAACAAGAAAGAGCCTAGCTTTTTGGGGTAGCCGAAGTTTGAATACCCTTGAAGTTTGTAATTTAAAATTGATATAAGCTAAAAATTAAATCAATTCAAATTAGAAAGCCTATTGTGAGTTTGTTTTCCTAAAACCTAAAACCTAAAATCTTAAAAATCTTAAATTTTTTGTCAATTTTAACTAAGATTTAAAATTTTTAAATATATGGTTCAATTTTTTTTACAGTCTAAAATGCATATTAAATTTAGGGATTTTTAAATAAAATTTTTGGTAAATTTTTAGGTTGATTCAAAATTTTGAAAAATATGCCAACACTTAAATGTCAGTTTAAAATGTTATTCATAATATTAAGTTTTTTTAATTTAATTTTTTTTTAATTTTAATAATGATTTAAAATTTAGAAAAATATTTTAATCATTATTTTTTAATTTTTTCACTAAAATCAAATTTTTAAAAATCTATAACTCAGCCAAAAATGCACTAAATTCAATTCGGAAAGCGGTTTTATCTTAGTTTTTATAAGGTTAATAAATCTGCTTACTTAATTTAAATTTTTATTTTTTCGATTTTTTGATAATTTTAATGATGTAACCCCTTATCGAATTTTGAAAAAATCTCAAAAATTTTTTTTCTTCAGACATGGCTAAATCGATTCAGCTGTTGATGCTGATCAAGAATATATATGATTTATGGGGTCGGAAATGACTCCTTCACTGAGTTTTTAACTTCGGACTGAAATTGTAATCCCCTAAAAGGGTATAAAGATACCGAATTCTAAATAAATTTACGCAGCGTTTCAATAATCAAATAAAATACAAGCCTGCCTGATAATTATTGCCTTCGAATGAACGCACTTAATTCGAATTAATTCCAATGTATTTCTATTTAAATCAGAAATTGCACATTGATTTAAATCAAATTCAATTGTAATTGCATTTAATTTGACACAATATTGTTAATGAATATCGATGACTTCAATTGAAAGTATAAATCCTACATTTCACATTAAAGCCGAGCTAAGCTGAGCCGGAATTCCGGCTGGAAAACCCTAGCGCTGACCCAGGTGAAATTTCAAACTGGCTCCCCAGCTGGGCCACACCAACCAAGCAACCCACCCCCACCACGGCAATAAGGTGCCAAATGATGGCGTTGCAAAGCTCTGCAAATTTGCCAATTATTTATGGTCCTGGGCAGCGAGGCGGTCGCTGGAAGAACTAAAGGATGGATGGTTGGGTGGCTCTTGCAACCTCATCAATTGTTAATGCAGCCGCCAAAAGTTGGACAGCTGCTCGATTGCCAGGAGCTTTTGCAGGATGCAGGACCCCGACCTCGACCTCCGGTACCAGTACCGGTACCGGTATACCAGCATGCATAATTTCAATTACTATGATTACCTGCAGGGGACTGAGCGACTCCGGCGTTGGCTCCTCGAGACGCGGCCATATCTGATGCAGGGACATGATGGCCTCGTTGCAGAACCGCAGGCCCATTACCTCCTCATCCTCGCGGCCATAGCTGGGGGTGAAATAAAGGAAGAGAGAGATCAGAGTTAGTATTTGACCCACAAAAATCTAAGCTAAAATGATAGCTCTGCCACGGGGCGTATGAGTAATCTTACCGGAACGTGAGCGTCAACTGGGCGTATACGCGATATCCCTGAATGGCCTTGGGATCAACATAGACAATCCCTCGCAACACGGACGGATTATTGCCGGTGAGCGTGATCTCTCGGGTGGGTAGATACAGGGTGAGCACACAGTTGGGCGAAGTCTTCTTGTAGACGCGTTGGGTGCCAAACTCATCCCTGTGGGTGGATCTAAGACGGAGACGGAGACGGAAAGAGAGAGCTGGTTAGACTGAGCCTCTGAGTGGGGGGCACCACCTGGGAGTAGGCGGAGCTCTTTAGCAAAAAAAAAAAAAAAAAAGGGCCAAACTCAGCAGCAAAAGAAACAAGGTGGCATCTACAAAGTTATCATTCCAAAATAACAAATGCATACAGTCGAATTTCCCTAAATTGAAGTGTTTCTTTGAGTATTTATAGTATATAAAATTTCGGAATAAAAATGTTTAGAGATTTCTAAACCTTTTAAAGGAAATTTTACAATTATATAAATGTTTTTCCAGATATTTTCTTCGAGATTTATATAGTTTAATATAATTGTATATAGTTTATACATGTTTTTATGGTGTTATATATGTATGTTTAAATATTTCTATATATTTTTATATATTTTAATATATACTTTTATATATCTTTTAAATATTTTTATATAATTTTATATATTTTTTTAAATATTTTTATATAGTTTTATATATTTTTGTATATATTTTTATCAATTTTTATAATTATTATATATTTTAAAATATTTTTATTTATTTTTAAATATTTAAATATATTTTAAAATATTTTTTTATATTTTTTTATATTTTTATATATTTTTTTTGATATACTATTATATATTTTTATAAAGTTTTATACATTTTTAATATTGTTTTTTTTAATTTTTTTAAATATTCTTACATATTTTTAAATAATTTTCCTTTTGACTTTCCTGAATTTCCAGTTAATTTAAAACTCACTTCAATTCCTGGAAGTTCGACTGTTTACTCTAATTAATATATAAGTAAGTAATATTTAATAATAGAATAATAAAAAAAACAACAGCTACAGTGTTTACAAGTAGCCATAATAAGTTAAGTTAAAGTTATCAAAAATCTTGGCCAATTCATTGAATTTCTTGATGCCAAATCTAAAATTTGGATTTCGAATTTCGAATATTAGAATCAAACGAAATGTGAATAAAACTAATTGTGGGTATAAATTCGAAAAGGTTTATGATCTCATGGAGTCAAAAGTGCTGAAATGTGTGTAAAATGTGTGTAAGCGGTGAATTTTTAGCCAAATATCTTGGGACGAGTTGTGTGAAAATAGTGCACTTTTTTGCTAAATTAACAATAAAAAGCTTGCCAATATAATGTTAAAATTAAGCCAGATACAGTTTCATAATATGTCATAATCTTAGCCAATACTTAAACTTAAAATTAATTTTAAAATTTTGTAAATTTTTGTAGAAATTAAATTGAAACAAATGTCAATTTTGTGATGATCTTACAACTACAAAACGCTCTAATCTAGTTTATTTCTAAGCTCTAAGAGCTGTACAGAGTTGAAGAAGGGAGAAATGCTAGGAAATCTAGGGATTATAGAAAGGTTCTGGGGGGAGAACAAAATGCTTAAGTTATTTATAAAGAGCCCTGAAACTTATTTCTAAAAAATATTATATATTTAATTTGTTAGAAGAATAAATTAAACAGGAGACTCGAGAGTTTTTAAGAGAATTGTTATTGCTAAAATTAATATATATTTCGATTTGTTAGAAGAGTAAATTAAACCAGAGACTAGATATTATTTTAATGTGTATTATTTTGGCTAAAATATATAATATATTCGATTTTTCAAGAATTATTTTGGCTAAAGTGTTTAAGAAAACAGGTTTTAAAGTTGACTTTCTGAAGATGAAATTATTTTAACCCCTGAAACTAAGGCTATTTTTTGAAGTATAAACTAAAAAATATATTTATTTAAATTACACCTTAAAACACATATTTTATCTGGTTTAAAAATCCAAAAAAATACATAATCTAGACAACTCCTTTATGATGTCCTAAAACTGGCCAAATTGTCACCCAAAAGCATTGTAAAAATGCCTTTTTCTTGTCACATAATGAAGGATAAACTTATTCTAGACCCCACACACACACACACACACACACATACACAAGGCTCATTAATCATGGACTCAATTATGGCCAGCGGACAGCCGCAACATGCCTGCTCCTTCACATGCCCACGGGTAACCACAGGAGTTGGGGTAGACACTGCCACCACTGGACACTAAACGGCTCTAGAATTTCATTTCCTGGCCGCAGGCTTTGTGGCAAAAATTAGAATGCAGTCAATTTGGCAAATTATCGCTGGCCACCCTTCCAGCTGTTCACATTTTGAGGGGACATTCATTGAATCCTCTTGCCAAAGGACGAAGCTGCCTGAAATTGCGGCTAAGCCACACTTTTTGGTCCTTTGAAACCAACTTGCTAGGAGCTTTTCTGGGTGCCATTGGGACTTGGTGTCTCTACAGTGAAAGAAAATGGTGCTGTCTAAAAACAAATGGAAATTGGAAAAAATAATTTTGTTTGATAATTAAATTCCCATTAATTTCCTTTTTTCTAATTAATCACCAATAAAGGTCTTAATTTTGTTCCTATTCTCAATTAACTTTGTCTTACAGCTAGTTTTTTTCTCAGTGCCTTTAGCTGCACACGCTCAGGTAAGCAATTAGCAGTTGGTGCACCTGCACCTGCAGCAATCAGCGCCAGTACCTTTTCCCGCTTTAGAAACTGCTCGAAAATATGCAATCAAAATTCCTGACCCGTCATCAGTTCATGGTGACGAATGCAGAGCAGAGAAGAGCAAAAGCCAACACAGGAGCACAGGTCCTGGGATCCTACATTTAGCTCCTGGCACGCACACCCACCCACCCACTGTTTTTTGGCCAAGTGTTTTAATTAGTTTCATTTTCACAATTTCCCATCATTAAAAATGTTGCCAAATTAAATTGTCGTTGAAATGTATATGAATATTCGCATAATTCAGCATTTTTGGAAAAGCATCCTTTGAAGGACGACGGTAAACTATTGCCTTTTCACGCTATATGAAAATGTTTAGGTTTTAGGAAAATTATTAATTAGCAAAAGTCAATTTTAATACCTCCTAAATGGGGTAGGGGGTATTTATGTATGAGAATTATTTTAAAATTTCGATTTATTTATTTATAGAAATTGTATAAAATATAAATTCTATTATATAAAGGAATTTGGTCAACTTTAAAAAAAGGTAGAGTATTTCTAGGAATTTTATATATTATATATAGGAATCTCCCCAAGACTTGGGTCATTTTTAATACCTCTAAAAAGGGGTAGGGTATTTCTAGGAATTTTATAAAATATAATATAGGAATCTCCCTTAAAGTTGGCTTGAGGCAACCTCTAAAAAAAAGGTTGGGTATTTCTAGGAATTATATAAAATATATATAGGAATCTCCCTTAAAGTTGGCTCAATTTCAGTACCTCTAAATGGGTTATTTATACGAATCATAGGAATTAAATCTCCCAAAGACTTGGGTATATTTATAGGTAGCTTTTATTTGTGGTGATTTCTGATATAAAAGAGCTCCTTGTTACGTCTCCTTGAGACTCCTTCCCACAAAAATAAGCTACGGATTTTGTAACTTAAGGAATCTCCCCAAGATATGGTTTCTTCTTCAATCTCCTTGAGGCTTTTTCCCAAAAAAAAAAAAAAACCTATTGATTTTGTAATTTAAAGTATTTCCTTGTAAATTAAACCATAGATTTTCCCCCCAAGGCCAAGACTCTGGACTCTGCATTGCGAATGCAGTTTCTATTTTAAGCCAGCAACTGGACCAGCTTTAGCTGGTAACCAACAAGAACCAGGACAGAAGGATACTTATACCCCGCTGTCTAGGGAGTGGGCGCTATGTGAGGAGATGCCTGCCAAGACCGCAGGTAACAGCCAGGAGTTGGTTAAGTTGAAGCTGCGGCAGAAGCTAAGCGCATAATTAAAATTTAATGTGGCAACGGTGGAAAAAAAAGTAGCAGCTTGCATCCTGCGGCAGCCATTGTTCGAGGACCTCGAAATAATTTCAAAATTCCAACGTTCAAGGCTGAAAGGCAGGGCCGATTGAGCCGATGCAGGATAAACAAGATGAGCTTCCTCTCTATTTTCGCATAATAATCCTGAGCGCATATGCCGGGCGCCAACTTTTAATTACATTCGAGCATTTCATTTCGTTTCGGCGGGTATTTAAAACAAGTCAAAAAACAAAAAAGTTTCACCAAAAACCCCACTCGATATTAAGTTTCGCCATTTCGCGTTTTCAATTTCCCTGCGATTATATGGCTGAAGGCTAACGAGCTCGAATCCTGGCGCCACAAATGACAGTTTGAAATGGCCATTAAAAGCATTCAAATTACCAGCCTTTACTCTTTTTTTTTTGTTCACACATTGCAAGTGCTGTGTGTAAAGGATTATATTTTGTGGTAATATATAATTTATAGAAGGACATTTCTACTTATTTAAGAAGCTGTTATTTAACTTTCTTTAATTCCAATTAAATGAAACTTTAACTTGTTGCCAGTTTGCAACCCTTGGCTCCTCGCTTCGAGTGTAAATTTAATTTTGTTGCCAGTTTGAAAATGGAAATTAATTCAAATATAAATACAACTTAGACTGGGCAGGATTGCAATTCGATAGCTAGAGAGTTAACAAAGCTTTACAAAATATGAAATACAAATAATTTCCTGAATTTCTCAAAGGGGGAAAATCTGAATAATTGATTATAAAATCAGATGAATCACATTACATTTGTGTGCATTTATTGAGCCTTAATTAAGGGAGGAGCGACTCATTAGCAATATGGATTCCATGGATGCACTCTCACAAAGGACATACATACACTCACGTATCTTGCCCAACACTTAGGGTTTGGGTTTTATTTAAAGCCAAGTTTCAACCTCAACCTCCTCAACCTGCATCCGCCTCCACATCCGGTTAATCCTGGACTATGTCAGGGATTGATCGATTGCTTTTACTGTCCACACAGGTAATTGTAATGCAATTAAAGGCCCAAGGACGATGCATCCTGCTAGGCCAGCAGGAAATCAAATGGAAATTGGAAAGGCAAAGGAAAGAACAAGAAAAAAGGGGGAAAATCGAATAAACGTAATGTCAACAAGGAG